ATAAAGTTTACAAGTTCGAGTCTAATTTAATTTAAGATCCCCTGAGTAATGTTCTTTGAATTTTCGGATGAAACATGATAATATTTAATTATTTCCTATCGATAAGAATCGATCTCTCATACCCTGAAGCAATCGATTCTTACTCCAATCGAAATAAAGAAATATTAAAATTCCATTCTAAAGTTCACTATTAATTCAAAATAATAACATTCAAAATAATTTTAAGAGTGAAAATGATAATATCTAATTACTTCAAATTGAGAATAAATGACCTTTCGTACATTAAAACAATCATTTATTACTCCAATCGAAATAAAAAGATATTACTATTTCATCTTAAAATTACAAAGCGATTCGAATGAAAACAATAATATCTAATGATTTCCAATCGAGAATAAATGACATTTCGTACCTTAAAGCAGTCATTTTTTACTCGGACTGAAACGAAAGAATATTACTATTCTCAATGTCGATTCGAATGTTATTGTTTTGAAAATCTACCGGAAAACACATGCAAAAATAAAATAAATAAAAAGCATACATCAAGCAAACACAATTAATTAATTATTTTATCGATATTTAATGAGAATAAAGATATTCAATTATTTAAATATATCGAGACGAGACCTTAGATTTGTTCTAATAGACTTTTCCCGATGAATTTAATTAAAAGAACATTGTTTTTTCTCTCTCTCAATTCCCGAATTTTAAAAATGAAATTGATTCAATTTGTGTCACTAAATGGGATAGACTTTCATTTTAAAATTATCGAAAGTAACTTTCTAATACATTAAGACAGTCACTTTACGACAAGATTAAAATTATCAAATATTACCCTTAGTCAATTTATTTCGATTCGAGTCAAGCAATGTTTATGAGGATATCATGCGAGATTAATTAGGACTAAAATGAATTAAAATGTAAAAACATGCAAAAATTAAAAATAAATATAAAAATAGGACTAAAATATAAATAATCAAACCATCATGCCAAAATTAAAATAAAACCAAATATGCAAGTAACAAAAATAAACATTTACAATATAAAGTGTTAAAATTACAAATAATGAAAAATAAATAAGACAAGGGGCTAAATCAAAATAAATTAAAACTATGTGGTTGAATTAAAATAAATAAAACATATATTCAAGTTTGAAATATAAACATGCAAAAATACAGTGGCTAAAAAGAGAATATCCCTAAAAATAAATATCAGACATAAAAAAGGAAATTATAGAAATAGTCCCTACAGTGACTAACATGCAAAAATGAGCTAAAAATTAAGGGACTAAATTGTGATTAAACCAAATATTTTAAGGCATGAATAAAAATGGGAAAATAATAAAAAAGGTCCCCCAAGTGACTATTATGCAACAATGCATGTAAGTTAGGGGGACCGAAGTGCAATTCCCCCCTAATTTACCCTATAAATACAACTTAAACCTTTTTTTTATTCATTTTCACTCGGTTCTTAAAAAAAGTTTTCTTTTTTTCCTCTCTCGATAGCTTTGGTCTGCCTATTGTCGGCCGCCCCAAAGAACCATCGGTCGTTGTCCGGTCGCCGTACATGGGGGCGAAAATCTTAAACTCTTCTAAAATGATCCCCAAACCTAGATCTACCACCTTATACCCCTCTCCTAGCCTAAAGACATGTTAAACGACCCTAAACAACCCCAAATCTAGCCTCGATCGTTTGATTTTTTGGACCTCCGGCCACCGTGATGGCTCTCTCCGACTCAGGTAAGCTTCGTTCTCTCTTAAACTCTCGGTCTATTTTAGGTTACATGCATGATGTTTGAAATAAAAAAAAAGAGCTTTCATTTTATTTGATTCAAAACTGAAAAAAATAACACTAAAAAATATACCTTCAACTTTTCTGATTTTATTACTTTCGAAAACCAAAGGGGCAACCCTTTTTACATAGCTTGCTTCGGGTTTTATACCCGTTTTACATTAGGTATTAGTTCTTAAAAAATCTGACTCTTCTTCGTATGTTGGTGTTGAGATGATGGTTGTTGCAGGGGAAAGTGGTGGCGTGTGTGACTTCCTTTGGAGTCTGGCAGTAGCTGAACCAACATGGTGGGGGGTTGTTGCTTCACGTGGGTATGATGGAGTAGGGTATGGGGTTGGCAGAATCTGGGTTTGGGTCGATTGGGCTCCGGGTTTAGGTCGAATGATTTGTTATTTTGGCCCATTTTGGGTTGTTGTAATTGGGTCTGAAAAATAAAAATAAAAATAAAAATATTAATTAATAATTATAAATAATAATAATATAATGATAATAATATATTAAAAAACAGGACGAAAAATGAGTGTCGATAGATAACACATTTAAAGAAGCCCGAGATTGAAAAAGATTGTCCCACAGAGGCTGCAATGGTTAAGTTCAAGATGAACCACTCTTCCTAAAGAACATTTAACTTAATACCAAACGTATGGACTCGTTCTAAGCTTTCAACCTGATAAAACTCCGGTCTGGTCGTTACTGATCATCTTCTTGAATGTGAGAAGAGCCGTTGCATCGGTTTTGATCAATGGAACCACCGCACCTGAAATGGAGACTGTAAAGATAAGTATCACTGGAAAATAATAGTAAAGTTTAACTGGTTTGATCTCCATTGATGAAAAACAAAATTGAGAGAAAGAAGGAGAGATGAAAATAGAAGCTTTTGACAAAAAAATGTTGTTTTTTCTAATATAATACTCGACTCAACATAAAATCTTTAATACTGGTTCCTTTCCATTGATGTATACTTCAAATACTTCCATGGTTTCGGGGAAGTACTAGAAAACGTAGAGGAGAAAGCATGAAAAAACAACTCAATAAGAAATTACATGTCGAGAGGGGATGAAAAAGGTGTTTAATAAAATGTGTGAGAGACATAACGTATATGTTAAATATTTTGTGTTGCAAAAGATATACAAATGAACAATAAGAAATTACATGTCGAGAGGGGATGAAAAAGGTGTTTAATAAAATGTGTGAGAGACATAACGTATATGTTAAATATTTTGTGTTGCAAAAGATATACAAATGAAAGATTTGGCTTGGTGGTTAGGTGTTGGGATATAAACATGTTTATTTGGTTTAAATTTAAACCAATATGGTGTTGACATGTGTTATCATCTTATTAGATACAAAATATTAAATAAAATATATATAAATATTAAAAATAATATTTTAATTTTTATTTAAAAATATGGTGTGACAATACCACATTATCATTTGTTATGACATGGACATGCCACATTAGCATTTGGGTCTGTGTGTTCTTGTTTGGTCAGCACCATGCGTTTGACTAACAATTTCTATCCAACAAGGTTATTTTCTTCATCAATTCATTCAAATTTTGGTGATTAATCATTTTAGGAAAAAAAATCTAATTGCTATGATTTTAGTGAAATTTTTTCCTAAACTGATTATTTTTCAACGATGTTAGTGTTGCAACCATACAAAAATCAACGTATACTTCATCATTGATGTAACATTATTGTGTTAATTTGATGGATTGCGTCATTTTGAATTATTTTATAATAAATTAATTTTAAAAATATATTTTTATAATTTTAAATATTTGTTTAAAAAATTATTTATAATTTTAAACATATTCTACTGTGAATTTTTTTGCTTCCTTATCATTATTTTTTTTTAATTTGTGAAACTTTTATTAGAAAGCAAAAATTAGTAGTTAAATTTAGGGGTGAGCGTTCGATCGAGTCGATTCAAAAAATTTCGAGTTATTTGAATTGAAGAGTCCTATTTTGTAACGCAAGTTTGATATAAAAAAATTCGAGTCGAGTTTTTGAGTTTCTATTTAAACTTAATTATTTATAATATTATGAAACTATTTGATTCTAATTTAAATGATTTTTTATGATCATATGCAATACATAATATATTTTTTCATATGTGATATACATATATCATACAGAGTCGAGGGACTTGACTCAAACTTGAAAACATTCCATTAATTAATAAAAATTGTTATTTGAGTTACTGTTCGAGTTATTCAAGTTGTATTGTATCTCAACTTTAACTTGAATTTTTTTCTAGTATAATTGAACTGAAAAAATTGATTTTTTGAGTTGACCAAAATTTTGTTCACCCCTAATTAAATTTGAGTAAAAATAATATGATCAAATTAACAAAAACACGAAAAATATTATAAAAATATCAGCTCAACTTTACAAAAGAAGGAAATTTGGCGAAGAATAAGATAAATTGAAAGTCCTGGGAAGAAGTGGTGTAATGACAAGACATTCCAAAGATAGAATTTCTTGCATGATCTAATGTTTTCTCTTTTGTGTTACAAGGCACATTTGACGGTCCAGTGAATCATGTGCGTAACATATAATAAAGAGTTTGGTATGGTAAATATTGAAAATGGTTTGAACAGAATTCTCTCTCTTTTTTTCCCTTTTGTATTGCGACTTGCTCCTGCAGCCAATGAAATTTGGTTTTAACCAATGATAGATTGAGGGGAGATCGTTTTGATTCTCATATATTATAAATATTTTTAGTCAAATTTTATTTATAAAATGTTATAATTAGTCTCATAATATAAAATATTATAAATTCTTTTATGCTTTAATAAAGAATGTGAAAAGAGTGCTAGTAAAGAGGTGTAAGTTGTTGAACCTATTATACATTTTTGGAACAAACGCTACAAAAAATCAGATCTATAGTGGTGTTTTTGAAACAAACGTCGCAAAATGTCAGATCTATAGAGGCGTTTTTTGAAACAAATGCCGCAAAATGTCATATCTATAGCGGAGTTTTTGGATACAAACGCCGCAAAAGGGCTCATGATAGGAAAAAAAGAACCATTAATAGAGAAGACTAGATGACAAAATATTTCTAATTCTAACTTGCATTCAAAATAAGTGTTCAAATCAGAAAATCTGAAATGATAAGTAATTCATGTCAAGCTTTTATAGGCTTCAATAATAAATTATAAGGAAAATTAGGAAATATTTACAGTGGAGTATTCCATGGAAAATTATATATTATCAATACAATAAGAATAAAAGAGAAAAGCAGAAACTATTCACCAATTTCCGCACTTCTGCTGCAGGGTCATTAGCAAGGGCTCACAAACCATGAAGGTATTTATCCATGGATGTATATAAGGCCTGAAAGAAAAAACAATATAGACCTTATAATAAAGGTAAATATCTTCTTGGAAGAAAGATGTTACAAACAATATAGACCTAGCCAAAAACAAGAGACAAGAATCTCTTATCAACAAAGAAAAAGGTGAGGAGGAAATTAGCTAAATGCTAATCACCAATGATGTTCTCACTTGGTGAAGATTAAAAGCAGAGTGCAAACAAGAAAGTTACAGCCATGAGGTATCAAACAACCAGCACTTCAACTAGAAAAGTAAAAAGTTAATCCTCAACGAAAATTTCTACTGTAATTCTGGTTTATACTGATATTATAAACATGGAACAAAACAGAAACAAGAAGAAAGTAATAGAACACATGTTGATCAGTGCTGCGATCGATCAATTTCAGATGCAAATTAAACAAATTTCAAGATCTAACAAGTTTCAGTCTGTTCCAATATCTTATAGGTAATCTAAAAAGTATAAAAACCAATGAATTGATAAGCAATTGCAACAAAGGGCATTTAAATAAATTGATCAACAATAAATCAGTTGCATCAAATTAGTAGACAGAAATATAGACAAATATTTAAAAACGATTAAAGAGTCAATGTCGGATATCAGTTTAGATTCCAGATGGGCTGACAAATATGTTTCGACAATGAATAAAATAAAGTGTATCGGAAGTAGAAAATAATTTATCAAATTCTGAATGAATATCTATATTTAACAAGTTTCAGTCTGTCCCAATATCCTTATAATCATTATAGGTAATTCGAAATTCATAAAAAACAATGGATTGATAAACAACAAACCAGTTGCATCAATTTAGTAGCCAAAAGATTAAAGAGTCAACGTCGGACATCAACTTAGATTCTAGATGAGCTGCTAAATATGTTTTGACAACAAATAAAATAAAGGCTATTGTAAGTAGAAAAAGATTTATCAAATCCTGAATGGATATCTATATTTTCAGAAAAGATCATACTGAAAAATAAGATTTATCCCTTAAAAACCTCTCATGGACATCGCAAATTGAAACAAAAAAATGCAGGAACAAAAACTAACGGAACTAGACAACTTAGTTCTTCTACTTATACAGTGGATTAATATGGTTAATAAATTTATGGATTTTAATTTGCTATTACACTAATCTTTTGTGCAAAAGACTTGAAAATGGTGTTAACCAAATGAAAACTACCAGCACAAAAGATTAAAGCATCACAGAAAATGCTAGAATAGACTACTATTATGGATGTTACTCTCAATCAACAATAAATAGGAACTTACTAATTACAATGTAAAATGGATGTTACTCTGACATAGAAAACTCTTACATCGACCATCGTAACAATCCCTTAGAGAATGACTTGTAAGGAGAGTGCCTTGTAACCATGTGGCCATTACTAGTCGGTCCATTTCCGTTTGAGGATCCATAAACCCTCTCCATAAGTATAGAGAAATTAGTACTCCTTGGTGAAACCCTCCACCTTGACTGAGTAGATTACTTGCTAAAGTCCATACAAAAAATCATTCCGGGATTATAAAAAAAACCCTGCAGGAATAAGGACAAGGTGAAACCAAAGTAATTTCATGCAATTGACAATGACAAACCCAGAAACAACATAAAGCCATAAAAGAGAGGGGTGGAGGTTGAATTTTCCATTGAAAACAGCTCAACTCAAAGCAAGAAAATAAAAATTTGAATGTAAAAAACATACATGAAACCTCTCAAGAAGAAAATAGAGCACAAAACGTTGAAACCTTGAAGTTACAAAGAATCAACAGAATAATTTCTATATATTTTTTTCTGCAGCAATTGAACTGAGAATCAAACAACTATTCAAGCAGTGACAGAGGCAATATAAGGGTAACTCTCACCAAACTAAAGTAGAAGCAAGAAGAGATAAGAAGATGGGTAAATAAGGAGAAAAATCCAAAAGTTCTAGTGTTTAAAGCCTAAAAAGAGAATACTGACATAAACAGAAAAATGAAAAGACAACCGTAAATTCCAATCCCAAAATTAAACAAAATCCAGAATCCAAATCAGTGTGGCACCAGAGGAATCAACTAAGCAATACAAAAAAGGAATCATCTTTTGGCCCTTTGTTTATCAGTGTGGATTAGAGTTCAATGAAGATTAATTAAAGGGTAAACGAAATTTATCTTCCCAAACTCTTAAAAAAAAGAATTGATTACAGCAGAGAAAATAACAAAAGCAAGAATACCAATTCCCCACAGATTCAAACAACAGATTTTCTGAGGCACAACACGTCACATTACAGTAGAGAAAATGGGTAAACCGAGCAGAATCCCAAAAATTCGAATCTTAAATGGTTTGAAAACTCGAAGAACAATGAATGATGATCCGAACCCGGAAAAAAAAGACCCAGCTTTATCTTAAACTTTAAAAGCTTAAAATCATTACATTTATTGATAAAACTAATCAGAACCTGAACTCAACCCGGGACATAAAAACCCGACTCGAGACAAACTCACCTCAAATATCTAACGTCTTCTCAATCTTCTTTGTGGCGCACGAACGCTAACAAAAAACAATCGAATCTGGTGTCTTGATGATTCCCGATTCCCTTCTCCTTAAATAAAACAAAACCACAACTTTTGATTTTCGGAAGAGACGAATCTTACAGTAGCAAAATACCGAAGAAAAAACTACCAAATTAATAAACATGAGATCGGCATCGAAGCAGATTGGTTTGGGGTTTGGTAGTGATTGAAAAATGGGTGAAAGGAAAAAATAAAAAAAAGGGTTAAAAGGCAATAAAGTACAAGTGTATGGCAGCGTTTGGATAAAAACGTCATTAAAGTATTATTCTATTGGGGGTATTTATTTAAAAAATATCATTATGGATGAATTTATTGTGATGTTTTTATAAAAATATCGTTAAAGTATTACTCTATTATTATGTTTTTATAAAAAATACCGTTAAAATTATTATTTTATGGCATTTGATATATAAATGTTGTTATATGTACTCCTAAAACGTCGCTAAAAATACTAGTGAAAGTTGCCCTTTGAACCCAACAGGTTATACTTTAAACTCACATGCATGATAGTAAAATAAAATAAGTGGGAGAAAAAACATGAGGAAAATGAGAACGTAAAACAAAACTTAATTAATGTGTTGGAAAAGAACATAAGGTTACATTCTTATCTTATGCAAACATGGTTAGTGCCATCACAAACAAGACATGAACTAGCTGTTTCTTAAAAAAATACTTGAATTTTGAATGGTTTGATGGCTATAGCCTTATAAGAAAATTGTGAAGTTATTGAATATGATGAGTGTTGTGTTTGGTTAAGATGGAGATCAAAAAAATGTCGGTCGATGTTGGCACAAATAAAAAGAGACAAATGGTTGTCAAATAGTCAGAGATTTTTTTGTTGTTGAAGAAGATAACTTTAACGTGTCATGTCATTATTTTTTAATGACAGATAATAGTAGTGACCGTAATGAAGGAAATTTAAGAGTTCAATGATTATATTATAAGTTTTAAAAGTTTGATGATTAAAATGTAAGCACTCTAAATATTTGGTGAGTATTTTTGTAGTTTACCCTAAAGTAATAAGGGTTTTGCGTCCTTAGATACGTAGTGAAGTCCAAGATTCAGGTACGGATTTATATAGGGGTTGCTCCTCCCAAAATTTTTAGTTTAATAGTATTTTAGGTTTTTATCAATTTAATTTTAAATAAAATAAACTTTTATTCTATACCAATTTTTAAAATAAATACATATTAAGTTTTTATTATTTTGAACTTATGTATATTATTCCTTCATATTTGATTCTTATTCCGTCTCGGTGAGGAAAAGGGTCCACTTTGACCTATACACCACATAAGCCAAGAGATACAAGTCAAGTTACCCAAAATTTTGAATATCTCACTATTGTATTTATAGTATAAAATATGGGTGTATAAATTATTGCCCATCATTTTCAACAGAAGGTATATGCATCATTAGGTGATCCGTTGTTGAAATAAGCTTTGAAATGGGGATTTACGTTGGTTGTACACGTGTAAGAAAGGGCCATTTCTATAATAAAATCCATTCAGCAAAATGAAAATCTTCTGGATGATCTCAAACAATCCTCAGCCCTCTGATTAGGGTGATGTAAACCACTATCAACGGCTAAGAATCTACTTTAATCCATAAGTTAATCAAGTTCGTATTTAATTAATATTATAATAACAATAATAAGGAACGTATGGGAAGAATCCATAAAATATAATACGTGTGGTTCAGGACATAATGGTACGTATAACACATGATATAGTTAGCAAATTTAAAGACTTGTCAGAAACACTATAGTGTATGGTAAAAGAATACGAACCCAAATAAATTAAGATTTTTTTTCTCTTTAATTAAATTAAGATGATCATAAAGTAGTATTTGTTTTAAATATTTTTAATTGTTTAACAATAAACATTCAATCATATTTGCAGGCATTGATACTATAACCTATAATCTCTAAGAACAACAACAATTATTTTAATCACCGAAGTAAGTTGGTTTGTAAAAATAAATTAAGATTTTTGCAATCCATGAAGATCATATCGCATATATGTGTGTGTATGTTTATTTTATAAATATTACATATAACACAAAAAAAATATGAATCCATAACTTGTAATTAAGGTTTGAGAAAGTCTAAAGAACGACAATCTAATTTAAGGTTTAAAATGATGGAAATAAGTGTAACCGAAAATATGATAAAAACATAACATTTTAAGTTAGAAGTAACCTATAATATTACTTTTTTTTCCTAACATTTTGATAGAACCTAAAATATACATTCTTCAAAATATTTTTTCAATCGAAAATGTTATATTTTTCGTAATATTTTAAGTTCAACAAAAAAATATTAATAAAATATTAATATTTTAAATTACGTCTAACTTAAAATATTATATTATTTTATCATATTATTTATTATACCTCATTTTTATTATTTTTTAATTTTAAAATAGATTTCCGTACCATATAATTACAATTAGAGTACACGTAAACTTAGTGATGACGAAATGGGTGATGGAATGGTTGAGTAAGAGTGCAACGAGGGAGAGTGGGGTTGTGTAGGAAAATGGGAACAACTTTTTCTATTATTTTCCGATCTGGAATAGCTTAGATGTTAGCCATCTCATATCTTTGCCTCATCCATCATCCATTCTCTCTCTCTCTTTTCTGTGTATCTACTTACACCAGAACACCCCATTTTAGTTCCAACATTGCTTTCATTGCCCAATGGTGGTCCCGGCAACATCCCTCCTCTCTCTCTAAATCCTGCATTTTCTTTATAATATATATATTGCTTGGTAAAATTCATAATCTCGTGTACACAACCAGCCTTTTGGAAGATGCTCCAGGACATTATATAAAGGTAGATGTGGGGCTTACAGAATTGGTGGGAATAAAGTTATGGGTAGGCAGCCTTGCTGTGACAAACTTGGTGTGAAAAAAGGGCCATGGACGGCTGAGGAAGACAAGAAACTCGTCAACTTTATACTCACCAAGGGCCAGTGTTGCTGGCGCGCCGTCCCTAGGCTTGCTGGCCTCCGCCGCTGTGGGAAGAGCTGCCGACTTCGGTGGACTAATTACCTTCGGCCTGATTTGAAGAGAGGCCTTCTTTCCGAGACTGAAGAACAGTTGGTGATTGAGCTTCATGCCTGTCTTGGAAATAGGTTCATTACGCTCTCTCTTATGTCTTGTTACTCTGATGCTCTCGTTTCTGAATCAGATCCCTGCTTATACTGTTCAGGTGGTCCAAGATTGCAGCCAGGTTGCCAGGAAGAACTGATAATGAGATCAAGAATCACTGGAACACCCACATCAAGAAAAAGCTTATTAAAATGGGAATCGACCCCGTAACTCACCAACTCTTGAACAAAGAAGCCAAACCCCAACAAACTTCTTCCCATGCTCATCATCATTCTGCACACATTCATATTACTGATGACCAAGGCATCGGAGCCAGTTCATCAGAGGATAATAATTCCAGTACTACACCAACTGAGGACTCCAATTTGTTAGACACCATTTGCAACGATGAATCTCTATTGAATAGCTTATGGATGGACGACGAACCGCCCCTTGTCGATGCATCTTGGACCAGTATACCCGCAGGAGAATCTAACTCTAACATGTCAAGTTTGCCATCTTGGGACAACTGTTCATGGTTGTTGGATTGTCAGGATTTTGGTGTTAATGACTTTGGCTTCGATTACCTAAACGACATTGAATTAAACACCATGAACACGCTTGGGATGGGCGACAAAACAGTGGCCTGAAGCACCATAGTTGAAGTTCTGAGTAAAGGAAGTCAAAGCTTCAAGTTAGGTGCACATGTTACCAAAAGTATTAGTTAGGTCTCAGTGTTGATATTATCTTCCTCTTCTTTTTTTTCTCTCTTCATAACATTATTATTGGAAGGTCCAAGGTATCTACCAAATTGAAAAAAGTATACCATAGTTGATGTCATATTTAAAGTTTTAACTTAATTGATCCTACTATACGCAAAAATGTGTTATCATATCTTAATTGGTTCAAGGACTAGGAAGCAAGGCCAAGTATTATTGGGAATCTGTCTAATTCTTAAGAATTAGTTTGGTAGATATCATAGTGATGGATAGATCACTTACGTTCAAGGCTTTTTTTTTTTTTTTGAGGAAGTAGAAATGGGCAGATTTTGTATCATAAATATTTGGGTGAAGTACACAAATTGTCCCACGATTATAGGGTGTTACTTTGTTGAGTCTCTCGACTACTAAAAGTTACAAAATAATCCCTTGGCTGCATTTTGTTGAGTCTCTTAACTATTGAAAGTTACTAAATGGTCACCCAACTATTCATATATTATAAGCTCATCCTTTTCTGTAAAAAAAATGGTTGTCGTCTGAGCTGGACGTTAACATGTTGACTAGGATGTGATAAAATCTAATCCAGAACCGTTTGAGCTATATTTTGTGGATTGAATCTCCGTTTACATTATGTCATTGAGCTAATACTTGAAACACTATGTCATCGATTCAGTGCTTGAAAACAATGGTGGTGCCAATAGACATCATTAAAATATATTTTTATCCTATCTCATTTAGCAATTTGACGTCCAGCTAAGACGACTATTAATTTTTTTAATAGAAATTAAATGACAAGTTAGGAACATATGAATCGTTAAGTGACTATTTTGTAACTTTTAATAGTCAGTGACTTAACAAAACATCTTATAATTAGAGGACTATTTTGTGACTTTTAATGGTTAAAGGACTTAATAAAGTAGTACCCTATAACCGGGGCCATTTGTGTACTTTATCCAATATTTCTAATATTGGACGTGCCTCGGCCTAGGTAGGCCCAAGCTTGCATTCGCCCTTGTTGACAAGCATAACTCATCTGACAATGAAACTGGAAAAAAAAGGATTTTGAAACCATGTTTGTTCTATCATCATTTTAATACTTGTGATTCGATGGGCATGTGGTAGGACTCTGTGGGATATGACACCAAACTCTGCTATTAGGATGTTCTTGGGGGGTGCCTGTATCCGAAAAATTGAGGGAGGGAAGATTATGATGGTTTGGGCATGTCCTTAGGCGACAACCATCGGATGCGGTCAGGAGGGTAGAGTCAATTACAGTCGACGGTACTAGAAGAAGAGGACGACCAAGGCGGAAGTGGGAAGACTGCTTGAGATCTGATTTGAAGGATTTAGCCCTTACCGAGGACATGACCTCTGATAGGAAAGTATAGAGACTTAAGACCAGGGTAGCCGAGTAGTGCGGGTCACATCCATAGGGTGTATCATATTTGTCTTCTTTTAATGCCTTTGTAGTAATTTCCATGACTTCTACTTTTTATACGCTTCTATCATTGGAATTTATAAAGGCTTAGAACTAGGGTAGCGGAGTAGTGTTGTCTTAGTTTAGGTTTTAAACCCATTTGATTATATTCCTTCTCCTAGGTTGCTATTGTTGACTTATGTGTATCATTCCCTTCATGTTTCCTCTTTCAAATTTAGTCGGGTCTTATGTTTCTATATATATGCAGAGATTTTTACGCAGGGACCTATTTGCAGGAATTACTTCCCATTACAGACGCGCATATGAAGACTGCATATGAATAATGTTTATTTTTATTTATGCATGCATGCATTGCATTTGATCGTTTATTTTTAATTTTCTAACTGCCGGAGATCTTCAACGGAAGCTACTCTCAACCTGGCGTTGGGGACAACCTACTACCCTACCTCCCCCTTACCCCTTTGCATATGTGAATAGGGTTTTGTTGTTGTTGTATATTGGGAACAGACATGGTTTCAAAATTTTTTTTTCAGTTTCATTGTCAGATGAGTTATGCTTGTCCACAAGGGCGAATGCAGGCTTGGGTCTACCTAGGCCGAGGTTTCAAAATCACTCATTTAACACGTATAATTTATTGAAAATTCATATTTTGACCTCAATCTTTGAATTCTCTTCGTAAAGGCACTCATTATAATCCTTTTTAGCTATCGATAGTGCACACACTATAGACGCAATTGCTTAAACTTAGAATCTCAAAAGAAAAAAACATTATTTTTAACCATTAAAATCATTTACCGGGTTTAATAAATCACAATGGTATAAAGTTTTAAATACGAGTTAATAGAATCGAATAAGTATTCGATGACATTGTTTGGTCACTATAGCTGGGCTAACAATTGGGTTTAATTATTGGGCTAACATACCAACCCAAACAACTATGGTTTCAGCCTTTTGATTAGGACTAGATAAGGGTAACTAGCGACGGGTTTCAATGACATTAAAGCAAGGCTCACACCGACGCGTGTAACGTACGGTGGCTACTAATCTAGCAAAAACAAAAATGGAAGGATGTGGATTAAGATAGTCACTCTTCTTATAAAATTAAAGTTATCTTATATTTTATATACCTTTTTATTAATAATTTATTTTTATTTTTTCACAATATTATAAGTTCATCATCCCTTCAAACTTTAAAATATATATATTTTTTATATAAAATTCTAAGTTTTTCCTTAATAATCAGCTTCTTTTGCTAAACATTTCCTTACAACTTTTGTGCAGTTGCTTATCAGTACAAATAAAACTTAAATCCTATGAATTCAAAAATCGTAATCTAAATTTAAATTCAGTTCAATTTGATTAAGATTATCCTGAAAGTATTTATATTTATATTCTCTTACCTTTCTATTGTAAATAAGTTATAATTTCCCTCTCAAAATATTGTTTCCCAATTAATTAACACTTTCACTACCCTCCAATCAAACCCCCATTCTTGAAAATGACCACCAGTCTTCAACCTTCTTACGGATCTCTCCAAGTCTCCTCCTCCACCGCCGCCGTCACCACCAAAATATTCCCCCTTCCCATCTCCAAATCTGAACACCTAATCCCAAAATTCCAATCTTTTCTTGTTCCAAATGTCACACCTTGACAACATTCCTTCCACTCCTGGTAAACACAAACCCGACAAAGCTTTCCGCTTCCACTCCTCCGCCGCATCCTCCTCGCTCTCCAAACTAACTCTTTATTCCACTCTTTTCCTTTCTGTCCTTATTTTCCTCCTACTTTCCTCTCCTTCCTTCACACCATCACCGCGCCGCCACCTCTCTAATGGGACCCACCACAACCCACTCTCTCTTCCCCACAAACTAATCGGCAAATCGGCACGTCCTCGCTCCACAACTGGCCATACCGTTCTTGTGACAGGCGCCGCTGGCTTTGTCGGCACCCATGTTTCCCTAGCTCTTAAACGTCGTGGAGACGGTGTCCTTGGCCTCGACAACTTTAACCATTATTACGATCCAACCCTGAAAAGGGCACGCCAAAAAATCCTTGAAAAAGCTGGGGTTTTTATTGTCGAAGGCGACATCAACGACCGGGGTCTTCTTCAACAACTCTTCGATGTCGTTCTCTTCACTCACGTCATGCATTTAGCAGCCCAGGCAGGTGTTCGTTACGCGAAGCAAAGTCCGGGATCTTATATTCATAGCAACATTGCTGGATTTGTCAACATACTAGAAGTTTTGAAATCGGTCAACCCTCAACCGGCGATTATCTGGGCATCTTCGAGTTCTGTCTACGGGTTAAATTCTAAGGTACCATTTTCAGAGAAAGATAGAACTGATCAACCTGCGAGTTTATATGCTGCTACAAAGAAAGCTGGTGAGGAAATTGCACATACTTATAATCATATTTATGGACTTTCAATAACTGGATTGCGATTTTTCACGGTTTATGGTCCCTGGGGTCGGCCTGATATGGCATATTTCTTTTTCACTAGAGATATAATGAAGGGTAAAATGATCAATGTGTATGAATCGCCGGATAAGGGTATTGTGGCTAGAGATTTTACTTATATAGATGATATAGTGAAAGGATGTTTGGGAGCGTTGGATACGGCAAAGAAGAGTACGGGGAGTGGGGGAAAGAAGAGAAGACCAGCACAATTGAGGATTTTTAATTTGGGGAATACTTCGCCGGTACCTGTGAGTAGGCTTGTTAGCATATTGGAGAAGCTTTTAAAGGTGAAAGCTAAGAAGAAAGTTGTGGCATTGCCAAGAAATGGTGATGTGGAGTTTACACACGCCAATATTACCTTAGCAATGAAAGAGCTTGGTTATAAGCCCACAACTGATTTGGAGGCAGGGTTGAAGAAGTTTGTGAAATGGTACCTCGGTTTTTATTCAGGGTCAAAGAAGAAGAGCTCTTGGTGAACTTTCCCGATCCTTTTTTTTCCCTTTTAGTTCATTTTGATTACTTCTATCATGTTCATTGTATGCTTGATATAATCATGCAAGTGGGGGTGGCATTCCGAGAGGAACTGCTTTACATGTTAAGTGGGCATTTTTTCCTGGACGCTAGCAGCATTTTAGTTGTTATTCCACATGTTGCTTCCTTCTCTCTTGGAAGCTTCTTTTAGCAGTTTAAGCATTGTACAGTTCATGAGATGTTGTGATCGCTGGTTATTTTTTACTCAACAGTACAGTTATTTCAATAAATTTTCATCCGCCGCAAGTGCTTTTAACTGATATTGTTTATCGAATTCCCCTGGTTTTTGCCTGCCCTGTTTTGGATGGAAGGTCTTGAAGATGGACGATGTTATATACTTGTTCTGCCTCTTTTATTATCACTGTTCCTATACCAGAACTTCATCTGAGGTATAACATTTACTTGAATTCCGGAATGGTTAATGTTGTCCCCTTTCCTGAGTTATATAGCATGCTGTTTTAGGTAAGGAAAAACACTATATTATTGCTTCTCCATGAGGTTGCTGTAGTCTTTAAGTTTAGCAATAAATGGTATCTACATGTTTGCTTTCTCTTTAGTTATGCAATACCTGTTCAGCTAGGCTTCCCCGGAATTGCAGGCCTAGGTCCTTCAGCGATATCCGCCAATGTTTGTATTATCACTAACGTTATTGATTTGTAACAAACCGGTTACTCGCCGTTAACAAGTGTTACATGGGTAACAAAATGTTGATGTGGCACATTAAAACAATGACTTAGCACTATTTTGTCATACGTTTGACTCCCAAAACTTTGGACCGACATTTAAGGAAAAAGTTCGAAGAAATAAAGTTCTCTTCTTCTCCATTCTTCTTCTTTCATACCTTCCCATTTAAAAATCAGTACAACTACATCCCGCCATGAATATAGGAGTGTTGCAGAGCTCACCACTGCAATGTTGATGACCGGAAACCACCCTAGTGGAGCATCAACACCATTGGCCACCATCAACTCATCATCAACAGTCACCATCTCCTTTCTTCTCCAAGCCGTCGCAGCCGTAGGCTGTAGCCTGTTTTCTCCGGTAAGGAATTTGAAGTAGACCCAGCAACGTCTCATCTCTATAAAGGGTCGGTGCTTTCCTTTTTGTTAATAGCCATAAGGTAAAGACGAGGATTTTTTGGCCTTGATCAATATCCAATACTTGGGACGAACTTTATATTTTATCTATTCTAGATATTCTTGAAAGCTACCAAACAAAATTGAAACCATGTTTCTTGTCCTTGTATTCCATTCCACTGTTTGCACCTTTGTAGTATTCTTAATATTTCTAGTCACCCATACAAGCATGGATGCGGCTGTAAACAGTTAAATGATCATTTTCCATTAAAATATGCAGTCCTATAGAAGTTTGTGCACTCAATGTTATGTTTCAGCTCATAGACCATAGGATCGGTTGGATGTTCATTTGCTAGCATGTTCATGTATTTTTCAAAAAAAATATCGACCTCTTCAGACCAAAGGACCAGACCATTCCTTGAGAGATCGATCTTTTTATGCAAGTTAGCTACTATATTTCAAAGAGAAAATAACCTCATTGACCGAAATTTTTTTTATAATATACGATTTTAACCAACTTTTTTTACGATTTGTCAAAATGACCAACAAAATCGCAATGCGATCTCTAAATCGCAACGCGATCTCCATTATCGCAATTCAGTTTCCAGATTCGTAATGCGATTTTGACCATCGCATTGTGATTTTCGAAATCCGTGTTGCGATTTTAGATAATCGCAATGCGAATATGTAAGTCGCAATGCAAATATGTAAATCGCAACGCGATAACACTTGATCGCAACGCGATTCTGACTATCGCAACACGATAATACGTGATCGCAACGCGATTCTGACTATCGCAACGAGATTCTGACTATCGCGTTGCGATAATATAAAATTGCAATGCGATTTTCAAAGCGCCATTAGTATCGCAACGCGTATTTTATTTTCAAATTCCAAACACGAATATTTACCCGTAATCGCAACTCTTAACCTAAAACCCTAAATCACAACTCAGTCCCATCTCCATCTCTCACTCTCTACGGCGACATCCGTCCCCATCTCCGGCGAAATCCGTCCCCATTTCCGGCGAAATCCGCCCCATCTCCGGCGAAATCCGTCTATCTCTATCTCTCAGAGCCACCCTCATAATCATTCACGATCAGAAATGGAAAATTAACCAAATCAACCATCGAGGGTTAGTTCTTTTAATTATTTTTATTTTGATTTTTTTGCATTATTATTAGGTTTTTCATATTGAAATTAATGATAAGTTTACTGGTAATTTCAATAATAGATTGTTGCCAATACTGCTACTGTTTAGTCTTTAACCATGTGAAGTTAGTATTTGTCTTTGTTTTGTTTTTTGGTTGAAGTAATGCAATTCATTCAAGTTTCAATTTTAGACAATGGCCATTTGAAACCGAGAATCGCAACGCGAAATAAAAATCACAACGATAAAATTCGCGTTGCGATAGCCATTTCGCGTTGCGATTATCTCGTTGCGTTAGTCAAATTTGAGTTGCGATAATCATTTCGTGTTGCGATTTTCATTTTCGTGTTGCGATTTTAAGTTTCAGAAACTATTCTTCTTCTGCAAATTGAAACTTGATTGAATTGCATTACTTCAACCAAAAAACAAAGACAAATACGAAATTCACAGTGTTGCAAAATTAAGTTTGAAGAATAAACTACTACGCTTTATGTTTATTATTGTTTTTGGTATATCTTCACAGTGTAGTTTTTGGTATATCTAACTTGGTATGTTTATTGTGTAGAACTTTTTTTCGGCTCAATTGACCTTAAGGAATAAAATAAGCCTAGTCACTACAATTCCGTCGAAGCTTTCACCTGTACATAGACAATTATTTGAGGATACTTGCTTCGGGCCATGGATGAAAGTACAACATCCGGGTGGAGATGCTATATTGACCCATTTGTGGCTTCAGACCATGACACGCGATCTACCCGAGAGTATAGAACGTGGTAATGAAGAGATATGGTTTCATTTTCCACCGGCGTATACGTGTTTTGGGCGGGAGGAGTTTTGCTTAATCACTGGTCTACGCTTCGGACACGATGATGTAGGTCGATATACTAGTCATATTACCCGCCCATCATGGTTATCCCGGGTTTTTCCTGAGCTGTCAATGGAGAAGCCGAATTTACACGTCGACGACTTGACGAGATTATTTAATAAGAAAGATGGTTTTACTCGGATGGATGACGTCGATGTTGTCCGAGTATGCCTTTTAGTACTTTTGCATACCGGCTTTTTAGGAGAGAGGGCAGACAACCTATTCCTAAGGACTTAATATTATTAGTAGAGGACCTAAATGCATGGAACCTATTTCCGTGGGGTTCGTATCTATGGAAAGCTACCTGGAATAAGTTGTCGTCTGCCTTTGATGACCGCAAAAGTTTGCATGGCGATGGTTCCAAATACACTTTGTCAGGTTTTATTTGGGCATTTAAGGTAAGAATTTCTATATAATGTTTCCAAAATTATAATTAATTATTTTAACAATTACTAATGTTTGTGTATTATATTGTTTGTAGATTTGAATATTTGAGGTTTTTCCCGACATGCAAACATATGCATTCAAAACTTCAAATGATATTCCTAGGGCTATTTCCTGGAAGAGGAAACGACGGCTGTTGATTTGGGTAGAGTTACTACGGTATACGACAATAAATGTTGTAAGTTAACACAAATACTACCATATATAAACAAGTTATTACTAGTACATGTTTAACTTTTTTTGAGCTTTTATATTGTTAGGAGGCCAACACTCCATTACAGAGGCTGACACCCACGGAGGCTGAGCTTGCCACTGATTAGTGGCAAGCTAGTAAGCGTTTTTTTGATGGCACGGATGATGAGCAGCCTCCACTTCGAGATCCATCACCTCACCCAGAGCCATCACCTGATCGACCACGCTATACACCTCTACAACGAGAGCCATCACCTATTCTGTCACATCATCGAGCCTCTTCTCCACCATCACCTCATGATAGGCGATCGGCAAAGATGCTACGACATTTATCTCCCTGTTTTCCACCTCCACCTCCACGGGATGAGTTAGGGGAGTTACGTGATGAGGTCAATGCCTTGCGTGAGGAGGTCAGTATTTTACGCGATGAAAATGGTGAATGGCGTGAGGAGGTAGCTACTTTACGTGGTGAGGTAGCGACTCTACGTGAGATGGTAGTATCGTTACAGAATGAGGTTTATACTCTACGCAACGAGGTAAGTTTAAGATTTTTCATTTAACTTGATTTACTCGTAATTTCACTTAGATTATCCATTTCACTTGGATTGCTTAGTAAATTCATTCGGTTGCTGCCAATACTGCTAATCAGTTCTAAAATAACTTAGTATTTGTCTTTGTTTTGTCTTTTGGTTGAAGTTAGTAAATTCATATTTGTCTTTTGGATTGCTTAGTAAATTCATTCGGTAGTAGTTTATTCTTCAAACTTAAATTTGCAACACTGTGAAGTTAGTATTTGTCTTTGTCTTTTGGTTGAAGTAATGCAATCCATTCAAGTTTCAATTTACAGAAGAAGAATAGTCGCAACACGAAAATGATTACCGCAACGCGAATTTGACTATCGCAACGGGATAATCGCAATGCGAAAACGACTATCGCAACGCGGAAATGACTATCGCAACGCGAATTTGACTATTGCAACGGGATAATCGCAATGCGAAAATGACTATCGCAACGCGAATTTAGTTTCGCGTTGCGATTTTGGTTTCGCATTGTGATTTTCTCGTTGCGATAGTCATTTCGCGTTGCGATTATCTCGTTGCGATAGTCAAATTCGCGTTGCGATAATCATTTTCGTGTTGCAATTTTAAGTTTCGTGTTGCGATTTTAAGTTTCAGAAACTATTCTTCTTCTGCAAATTGAAACTTGAATGGATTGCATTACTTCAACCAAAAGACAAAGACAAATACTAACTTCACAGTGTTGCAAATTTAAGTTTGAAGAATAAACTACTACCCTTTATGTTGTCCTTGAACATGCACTAAACCTATATGTTGTCCTTTTAAATGTTTATATAAGTGCTTACTTCTGGAATATTATCTGATGCATTTTGTGAACTATGATAGAATAATGACTTGGGTGAATACCGTGCAAGTTTGAAACATATTTGTCTTTGTTTTCACTGTTTAATATCATGTCTGTTTATTTACTGATTTTATGTATTAATTTATTTTTAGCGGCCCGATAAGGTG